TGAAGTCAGAAAACCTGGCACTGTCACTTCTCTATGTCCAAATGGCTAGTGATCTTTGGCAGTGCCCTCATGTGCCAAGATCCACAAAAACGATGGCATAACAACTGGCTCAAAACTGGCCTGAGGCATTGCTTCATAGTCTATTTACCTTGAAACAAGAGAAAATATTGGCAGTGTTGTTATTGATTCCAAAGGTGACCAAGCAGTAGCATAAACATGGATATAAGCTGCTTGATTTAAAGCAACCTGCCCAACACCTGTTGATAATATGGACTGCAGTTAGGTTATCTGACCAAGAAAGAACCCATTTATTCCCGAATCTTTCGACACATAATTACCACCAAAATTAGCAGAAATTCTAAGAAAATAATATCCCTTTATTGACCAACAGAACTCGCAATGAAAATCTCCCACTGAAATACACATCAATCCCCCACTGAAAACACTGAACTGAGCCAGCAGAGATATCTGAGCGAACCTTAATATCTGCCTTCAAAATCTATTCTGTCTGCCAGAATGAAATGCCACTGAAAGCAGGAGGCAAGAATTGCTACTTGCCCAGTAGATAATCCTGCAGCCTCCTTGTCAATCAAATAGAATAGTTCGGCCATCTGGTACCAGGTGTGGCTGCTGCCAAGCGAGAACAGAAGATACATCCTGGGTCAATGACACAACACATAACATTCAAACATCCATTTAAAAACTAGCTGTTTCAGGAGCCCAAGACACTCATCATTAAGCACCAAAGGTTTTTGTTTTAAGGGCTGTTCTTCACTGCAACAGGTAGCTGAAGTTAGTACACTTGAGTTACTCCACTTGAGCTAGCCTAGTTTAAGTGAGAACAGAGTGAGAGTGACCACATTGTGAAACAACATTCTTGCTACACAAAGTGGTAGGATTAAAGCTGAAAAATTGTAACTCCAGCTGCTGCATGCCCATTGCATTTCTAGGGTGCATCAGCCCTAGCACAGACAGGCTAGCTGGCCCAAGCTTAAAGCACCACTTAATTCAAGCTAGAGATTTTTATGAGTGGATGGGAGTTAGACTATGGGGCAAACCTTGAGTTATAGCTCAAGCAGCAATGTAGTGAAGACAAGACCTTAAAGTAATACATTGTCTGCCATACCCAATTAATTCTCAAGGTAAGCAAGACAGTCTTCTTTTCACTCAGTGGCTTCCAAAGTCTAGTGCAAGCCAGGGGGTCAAAGCCCAAGTTGCCAGCTGGCCATCCCAGCCAGGCCCTGCAGAAGGATGAAGAAAGCAGGGAAGAGGAAAAGTGGCTTCCTATATCAGAAATAGTTGTTATCCAGAAGTAGAGAAGGGAGACACTAGGTCCAGAGGAAATAACAGCTCTCCAGGTGATCACAACAGCAACACACACTTATGGGGCTCACTTATGAGGCTAGAGCTGACTCACTCTAGACTCAGTCTCATCCCCACATGTGAGGAACAAGGGTTGCTTTCCCATTTTACGCTCCCCCATCCAGCAGATACCCACCAGGCAGTGAAATAGGGCCAGAGACAGATTCCACTCATCTTGCTGGATTCAGAACTATTGCAGCTGCCCCTATTTCATTCCCTACAAGAGGGTCATGGCTGCAGGATCTGGAGCACAAAGTACTTGAGACTGGTGGATACCTCCAGGACTGTGCTAGGGTGGCTGCAACCTGTCCCATTGGGAAGCTCCTAGAATTACTGTGGCTTCTACTTCTGCTGCCACCTTCCTCAGGGCCTCCATTAGGGAAGCACTGACAGACCTAGGGCCTGAACTGGCTGGCTGGCTGAGGAGATCCAAGGGAATTCCTTGGGATTTGGTCCAAGTCAGCACCACCATGTCTACCCACTGAAGCGTAGCAAGGCATCCTGCACCGGAGGACAGGACCAGAATGACTTCTTCCCTCCAGCCAGGATATGATGACCCTCACCCACTATGTGGCAAAGGGAGAGGGAGATTCAGAAGGCAAGGAGGAGCTGGCCTACTGGAAGAGGGTGATGGGACACTGACTGAAAACCTCCCCTTTCAGGCTAGTTGAAGCCCCAATGAGGCAGGATAGGCTTTCTGAGGAGACAGGAGGGAAATCTGGTTACTGTTGTGAGCCACACTGTAAATGTTTGTTTTAATGTTTAATTTTAATAAGGTAGCATTGTGTTTGGTTAGCTCATGTATTTGTTTTAGTTGCGGTGGCAGCATGTGTTTGTCTTTCGGGATTAAAAGTGTAATTGGTTTGACTGTTTGCAGTTTGCTTAAAGTACAGTTAGATTTGAAAGTTAGTTCCATTTACATTTCAAGTGCTGTGTGTGGGTGCATGAGGGTGTGTGGGTATGTCTGAGAATGTAGGATTTCACTGGGCCTATAGTGCAACTTTTCTCCTCCCATTCTTGCTGCAGTTGCAGTTGTGTGTGTGTTGTTGGGGTTTTTGCCCTTGTCTATTCATTTATCCACCTTGTACTTTTATTCCATATCTGAGGGAAATTGCTGATTTTGTTTGGCCTCCGGCATACACTCTGTACAATATCTTTATTTCTTTCGATATCTAGTACAGTTTAGAACACTGTGGCAGTTGTAACTGAAGATTCAAGGCAAAAAGACAGCTGGAGATGTGTGGGCAATACGATGGGCTACATTTTCAAGTGTTATATGGGATTTTTAGTTGCAGGATTCCCATTGATTTTAATGGGAGCGCACAGCTAAAATACTATTCAATATTTTGAATTTTTTTGGTGTTGCATATCCTTGAACTTCTATTTTTCATGACGAACACATTGAAAAGCAGGACCTTGGATGTGGAGTTCATGCTAGAACAAAAATTTGTATCATTGAAAGAATAAGAGTGCATTAAGGCAAATAGCTGAAATGAGATAGTGTGTGGTGTATGAGCTGGAAGAAAGGAGAACAATTTAATGAGGAAGAAGCCTCTCATGAACTATAAAAAGTATTAAACTGGCTATGTACAGAGCCAAATTTAGCAGGTATGGTTTTGGCTCACATTATGTGCAGCTGCAAGGTACATTATAGTACAAAAGGTCAGTGTGTGACTGTGGATCTTTGTGCAATTTTATAATACAGAAAAAACAATGAAAAAGGGGGGAAAACATTTATCAGAAAGTGGAGTATAGCAGATTTATCAGACCTGCACAAATGTTTTTGGGTTAAAGGTTTCCTACAACTTACACCTCACTTATAAACAAACTCATGGCTCTTGATTGTTATATGCATATGTGAAACTCATTTGCATTAATGGCTAGGCTCATTATTTATTACTACAGCAAAAGGAAAGTGGGTTGTGTGGAGAATTTAAAATGTTATGGGAAGGAAGGAATGGACACTAGCAGTCATGATGGAAGATATTTTTATAACAGACTCCTGGATGGATAGGGTATAAGATGTAGTGAGGCTGGTTTATATTAATATTGAAAATTTGAAGGGATTATAGAGACAGTCATCTAGGTCAGATACTGGGAAATTTGCTAAAAGCAAAGAACATAAGAATGGCCATACTAGATCAGACCAATGGTTCATCTAGCCCACTATCCTATCTTTTGACAATGACCAATATCAGATGCTTCAAATAGAATGAAAAGTACAAGGCAATTATCAAGTAATCCATCCCCTGTCATCCAGTCCCAGCATCTGGCTGTCAGAGGCTTAGGGACACGTAGAGTATGGGGTTGTGTCCTTGATGATCTTGGCTAATAGCCATTGATGGACTTATCCTCCATGAACTTATTTAATTATTTTTTAAACCCAGTTATATTTTTGGCCTTCATAACATCCCCTGGCAACAAGTTCCACAGGTGGACTGTGCGTTGTGTGAAGAAATACTTCCTTTAGTTTGATTTAAACCCACTGCCTATTAATTTCATTGGGTGACCCCTGGAAGAAGATCTGAAAGATCCTCTGAAATCGAAATCTCTGGTTGCTCAGAGTCCTTTACTGCAGCCATGTTCTTCAAATTAAAAAAAACTGGTAGATCTGAGACAAAAATGGTTTCACTGGAAGACCTGATTAAACTTTAATCTGAAACAAATTGCTTGTTTGCATGATTCATCTGGAGCAACGTTTGTGTAGGGTGAAGAGAGGCACACCCAAACAAATAGATTTACTTGATGAATGGCAGTGAGACAAAGTTGTGTTAATTACAAGGCAATCTCAGATGGATGAATTGAGCTGGTGTTGGAGAATCAGGTCAGAAACAAAAATAGCTGGTGAGTTGGCATCCACTTCCAACTGGAGAGGAAAGCTCCTGATCCCATTGCATACATGGAATAAGTGATTACCTCATTGTTGGGAACAGAAGTGTAAGATGACCACATCAATGACCTGTAGTAGAAATCAGCAAAGTTTCTGTGAGAGGTATGGTTTTGAACTCAACTGGAGCACAAATTTTGCCATGATCTGGAAGCTGAGAGTAACCACGAAAAAGAGACTTATCATTTGAAGGAAACAACATTCTAAACTTTCCTTTTCTCAGGCTAACAACACAGAAGATAACGGGTGTGGGTGAAACCTGCTTTCACAAAGAAAATGTGGAGGCAGCCGTTATGATTCTGAGCGGAGGCAAATTAAGGGATAGGTGCTCTAAGTCTGTACGTAAGAGACAGTTTAGCTATCCACCAAGTCAGATACAATACATTTCTGGATTGTTTTGGCCAGTGCATCAAAAATGTTATTCACACATAGCTGTTGTTTTTCCTTTCAACATAGCAGACAAAATTAATACCTGATGTAACTCCATTGTACTCCATGGAATTACACCAGGGATGAACTTGGTCTAAATTGTTTAAGTAAAAAAATAGAGCAACATACCATTACTCAGTAAATATATTTCAGGAAAGGTCCATGCAGTAATCTGATGTAATATTTTGAATATTGCTGAACTACCTAAATGTATGATTTCTAACATGGAACCAACAAAAGTGCATCTGAACTTTTTTAGTTGTTTACCAGGGCTGTCAGGGATTCTCTTTATATTAAATATTTTTATTATTATTTTTAACAGAGACTCAAGGAACTGAAACAGAGGGAGTTTGCTCGAAATGTAGCTTCCAAGTCAAGAAAAGATGAAAGGAAACAGGAAAAGGCCCTCCAACGTTTGCACAAGTTAGCTGAACTGAGGAAAGAGGCAGCATGGTGAGAGAATAACTACTGAAATGGAAAAAGCACTGGAAAAATAATCCCCAAACTATTAATTGGGGTTGTGGGACACATGACTGTTAAGATCCTGAGCCCAGAACAGGGTGCACATATTTTTATGGCAAGCTCTAAGCTGTATGTATGCAGTAATTTGATCTGGCGCTCTGTGAAGAAATAAATGTTTAACGTTATTTTTTTAGTGAAGCTAAAATGACATGTATTTTTAGTTAAAAATATGTTCCATATATATTTCATAAAGCCAGGCACAGTGTTGAAAGCATTAGTGAACTAGGTCAAGCATTTGAAGCTTGGCATTATTTTATTGATGAGGAAAGGATACACTCTATCTTTCCGGGATGTAACAAATCTGTGTGACTTAGAGTTTGAACTGCTCACCTGGGACTGCATCAGGAAATCTAGTTTTAAATTTAAATAGCTAGAGAAACTACATATGGGAATACCTTAAAAGAAAATGTTCCTTTTCCTGAACCCATCAGGGTACATAGTCGAACCATAACAATCACGTCTCACGAGATGTATATTCTCTATTGAATCTGGAAATATATTCCTAGTTGATATTGATATTTCTTAGTTTGAAGTGATGGCCTTTTTACCAAAAAAGTACATACTTAACGAAACAGACAACTCAGTGTAAAAGAATTTGAACCACTTTCAGTTTGCTCCAACATAGATCTAACAATCACAGGAAAAAATTGGCAGTGATTACTGTGTAAACGGAATGCTTATTCAGATGTTGTCTATGATGGGACCTGCATCTCACACGGTGAACTGCCACATTGTTCAGTTGAACGTGAGGTCTATAGTTTTCTGCTGAAAATTGGTAACATCTGTGTGTTGTATGACATATTGAAACAAAGTCCATCTAAACAAGTGGGCATGTCCTGGATGCAGGTAGGTGTGTATGGAATGAACAGTACAGTCACACACTTTGTAATTTCTTTGGGGCAACATATATATATTAACGAGAAGTGGCAGGTTTTTCACTACTGTACTGTATCAAGGCTTTGCAACCGTCAAACAACACACAGCTAAATCCTTCTCTCTAACTCCCCATGCTGTGTTAGTGATAATACAGAATGACATAGCTGTTAATGGTATGCAGCAGATAGGATGAAAGACAATGGAACATCTAGTGATTTATATACTGAGTTGAAATTGCTAGCTGGACTCCTGGGATAGTGCATGCATCTAGATATGGCTATAAGTGCTTAAGAAGCACAATTCAGGAGCGTTACTTGCTACTTCAGAAAAAAGGCAAACGTATCTGTTAAAGTCTAACTATACTGTGAAAAGTGACTGTTTAAAATGACACTGAGATTCCATATTTATTCTATCTCAATGACTTGCATATTGAACTTGATTTGTTTACAAGCAAAAAATCTAACTAGTAGCTTTATAAACTAGTGTGATCTGAAAATCCTCTACAATTCATGTCCAGTAATATGAATTTTGCAATCAGAAATTAGCTTTTTATGTTTCTATTTATGGTACATAAGTCCAGTTTGCACTCCCATACTGTATTGACTCTTCAATGCTAACATAGTAAGTACCTCATTTTGTCAGTAAGCTAATATACGTGTGTTGGAATAAAGATATGTAGGTCCAAACTCCTTAATTGTGCCTAAAATATTTGGAAGTGTATACATGTTGTGAGCACAAAAAACATGTTTGCTAGGAAAACTGGCACGTGTGTAAAGTGTATGTAAGTACAAACTTTACTGACAGAATTAAAGAAGCTCATTGAAAATGTAGATGAAAAGAAAAAGATACAGTGAAGAGGTTGATGTCATTTTTGCAGTTACTTTTCTGAAGATAGATAGATAGATAGATAGATAGATAGATAGATAGATAGATAGATCTGTTGATTCCCATATATTGTTCTAAATAACTGAGAGTAGGTTCAAAAGCAGCATTAACATTAGTATAATTTCAACTAAATAAAAACCTTATGAAAATATTTAATTGACAAAATAGAATGCAGTGTACATTTTAGGACTAGGAGAGTCAAGAATCTGATCTAGCCTTATGGACTAATACAACTGGATCATGATGGGGGTGATCCTGTGAGTCAGGAATAGAGCAGTGAGCTGCCAATTAGCGTGTTTTTAAATTAGTATCCAAAACTATAGCAAACACATTTCATTTAAAAAAAATGTGGAAAACCCAATTTTCTGTCTAAAACATAACACTTTCAAACAGCCCTAACTGCTCTAATGTGTTCTACTTCAGGTGGGCTTTGAGGAATTTTCAAAATATTCAGCTAGTGCAGAAGCCAGGTCAATCCTTCCCAGGAGGGTAGATTGACATGAACATGTAATCCCGTGTTCTGCAATGGCACACCCTATTGATTTCTGCTTGTAGTTCAGATATTAGTGACAATCTGTAAAGCCATATATGGTTTGGGATACAGTTAGTCTGCTGTGATGTCTTAGTTGTTAGTCTTAATTTGGCAGCTAGCCAGCCATTCTCAGATGAATGCTCCCATCTCTTGAAACTGTTCCCCTGAAATGTCCATCAAATGCTGAATTTGGCAAACTTCAGGCAGTGGCACCAATTCAGATTTTTTTGGAGGGAGGAGAAATTCTGGTCCCTGCCATCCCTCCCCCCTGCAAGGCCCCTGCTTATTGCCGGCTCTCCCACAGGGACCCAGGCCTCCCTCAGCCAGTTGCCGCCAGGAGTCAAGTTCTTGGCTGACTCCCCTGTGCTCCACTGTAGAAGAACAGACTCTCCACGCTCCACATCACAACATAATTTGGCCTGCTTGCCCCTCCATCTAGGCAGAGGAGTGGCCAGGCCAAATTTGAGTTGTCCAATCCCATGCACCAGGTTGCAAACACCACTCACTGAAAGGTGGTCAAGTTGCTTTTCTGTCTGATTTAGCGCAGAACCGCAGCTTAAAAGTGGTTGACTCATGGCCGCTCTACCCCTGGGCTTTGCAGCCTATGGACCTTTGAGCAAGTGTGTTTGCCTCTTTCCCTTACCTCCCTAACTGTTGCCACTGAAGTTAGATCATATTGTAAAGCCACTTTTTTCAGTTAGGTTGGTAACAAACATATTTTTGGCTTTCTTTCCATTCTGTTTTTTGTCAAATGCTTTTTTGGTTTTGAGGGGATGATGTTTATATGAAGGGTAAGACTGCATCTGAATGTTGTGTTCTGGCTGTATTTAATAATTATTGTATTATTGTTCTTATAGGAGCTATGCAAGGCAGTAAATAAACAGAGACAAAAACATTTTTGATAATATTAGCTAGATTAGGCTGGTAAAAGAAGTCAAAACTTAGTTCTCTGAAACAGCTAGTCTAAAGGTATTTTCAACCTATCTGGAGTTAGTTAACAGAGGAACTCTTTCAGGTGAAACCCTTTTTTTTTTGTGAGATACCCACCCCAATTTCCAGCCAAAATAGATTAAACACAGATAGGCATACATGCTTCTGGATGATTACCTGTACTGAATCTATAGAGGTTTTCAGGTTTTTCCATCATTACTTCAAATATGTCAGTTTGATTTTTCAGTTAAAAAAAAACAAGTGTGAAAGATAGACGTTTGCTGGCTGAGTTTCAAAAGTAGCATGACTTATGGTAATGCAGAAATTCCCAAATTGTGGTCTGTAGACTACTGGTGCTCTGTTGGCTCTTCTCCTTGCTTCTTGTTGAGTCATACAGAACAGCTGGGATGAGGAGACGAAATCAAGAACAATAGTAGACAGTGTGATTAATTTTTGTTCATTGACCTAGTACAATCACTTATTGTACTAGGTCAGCTGAAAGTACATAAATACTTACCTAATCTTATTTTTTTGCATGTAAGAATCTGATAAGGTTTTCACAATTATGTTTGTGATCGCAAATAGGAGGAGAGGTTGACTACGTGGTCACATATGGACGGGGAGGCAGTCTCTCTGAGAGGGAGGCGATTTATGAGACATCCTCTGTCCTACTATATTTTGCAGTAGGAAGAAGTTTGAAAGCCCCTGCTGGAATGTAGTCTTGTTTTGGAGCTATTGATTTAGAATAGTTAACCTGTCCCCCTAGAAATCTTTGGGGAAACAAATGTAACACAATGTTATGGAAATAATAGTACAGGGGGAAGGCAGTAACTCTGAACATCTGATTTCTTTGAAGTGTACTCATGGAAGGTTTTGTTTTGTTTTTTAGTGCTCCTGGGAGTGGTCCCATGTTCAAGTCCACTACAGTTACTGTGAGAGATAATTTCCATGAAATCCCACAAAGTACTATCATAGACGCTTCTAACAAACAACAAAATGTCAATTGTACATTAATGCACAATGCACAGAATGCGAAAGATGTTACTTCTAGTGCTTTTTCTGCTTCGGAAAGCGCAATTAATAACAAATCTGACACTCTCAAACTTGGGGATCAAGTACAAGGAGTCCATGGACATAAAATAGGATTCTCTTTTGCTTTTCCTAAGAAAGCATCAGTGAAGTTGGAGTCCTCAGCTGCTGTATTCTATGAATATAATGATGAAACATCCAGTGAACATGGAATTAGCAGAAGAAGTAGATTTGTTCCAGGAGCTTGTAATCTTCAGTTTCCATCAGCAACAGAAATAGTTTTGTGCTCTGAGGAGAAACAAAACTACAGTCACCCACTGATGGAAAAATGTACTGACACAGCAGAAGCTTCTGAAGTTCAGGAGTCAAAACAACTATCCAGTAAGGAGAAAAATATAATACTAGAGAATACAGTATTAGTTCCAGCCGATTCTCATTTGAAACAACCTGTGTCTTGCGATTTGGATGACTGTTGTGTTGATGTCAATTCACCAGCATTACGAGATCAATCACTGTCCACAGTTGCCATTAGTAATCAGGCACTACCTGTAGAAAGTCACAGTTCTGAGAGGTTGGGGAAAAAATCCCCAGCTCGTGATATCACTGATGATTGCTTACCTTTGCAAGACATCACAGAGGAAAACAATAAATACATTAATAGTGATTCATCCACAACTGAAGCAGAAATTAAAAAACTTGGCTCTGACCTACATATGTCATCAAATTCTGAAGGGGAGAGTACAGCCTTACAAAACAAACAAGAGACACATAAAAGACCTTGTGAACCATTTGTTCCTGTTCTGAGCAAACATGGATTGTCTGTTCTTCAGTGGCCATCCGAAATGTTAATTTACACAAATACAGAACCATCCATTTCATATAGCTGTAATCCTTTATGTTTTGACTTCAGGTCATCACGAGCAAGTGACTGCATGGAGAAAACTAAACATCAGTCAAATGTACATCATTCTCATGACAAAACTGAGTCCAACCAGAGTCTTGTTTTAGATGACACAGATAAATCTATTTCAGAATGTGGTGATTACAAAACAGAAATTAATAAAAATGTGTGCGACCAAGCAACATCACTTATAACAGATGTTTTGTTAGCTAAAAGCTGTGAACCTGCAACAAATCAAGATAAAATGTGCTTGGATGCCTCTTTCAGGACTGGAAAAACAGAAAAATACCACATTTCCAAAAGCCATTTACGACAGGACACCAGGATAGATGATAAACACAGCAAAGTCTGGAACAAAGAAACTCACAAAAGATGTTTTCACAAAAATAGGAAAAGGAAAAGGAGAAAATTATGTCATCACCATCATGAGGAAATAGCAAAAGCAGACACTGAAATTTCTTCAACAGCTGAACAGAAAATTAATTATGTCAATGAAGATAAACATCAGCACCTTCAAAATACTTCAGGGAAGTGCAGAGATGAAATTGGAAGCATATGGTTAGCTACAGAGCAGTTACAACAGTCATGTCAAAAACTTGGCATTGGAAACAGTGATCACAAAAGAACCATGTCCACATCAACAAACATACATGGTGACAAAGGCCAATGTGGGACCTGGAACACAAAAAATAGCTATGACCACTGCACTGACTCTGAACCTCTGCACAGAAAGTACAAAGCAAGCTCTCATAGGCAGTCAAAACAACTGACTTTGAATTCTGGAAGACATAACTTAATGTATTCTAGAACATTATGTAGCTGTAAGGTCAGAAGATCTAGCTGTAGCCCAGATCATAAATGTTTGGAAAAATGTACAAGTCAAAGCCAGTCCATCAAGAGAGCTTACAACTTTCTGACTGATGAACCTGAAAGATCCCATCGAAAGCGAAGACAACATACATATTCTTGTTCATCAGATGAAAGTTCATGTAGACAGGCATTTTTATCAGAAGCGTATCTCAGGCAAACAAGTAATTTAGCTGCACATTGTAAGCCTAAAAGGAAAAGGAGGAGAAAAAGATCTAGAACCCATCACATATTTGTCAACAAAGAACTAAGAAGAAATGAAAATCATAGACCTTCCAGAGGAAATTCTACATTAAATATTTTGGGGGAATTGTTAACACAAGAAAATATACAACAAACAAAAACTCAACCCATAAAAGATTATACAAAAAATATGGCGGAAACAACACAGCTGGTAGAAAACAAGTTGACTCTACAATCTGATGGTTTACTTTTATCAGAAAATAACAAGTCAACAGAGTGTTCAACAATGCAGAGCTCTCCAAGTATATTTTTGGAGCACTTCACGCATTCCTCTGCTTCTGTTATTGAACATAGTGTTCTGACAACTGCAACACCAGAGAACAAGCTAGAAGAAGAAAAGAAACATGAAAATGTAAGGGCTCGTGAAAGTCAAGCTCCTTATAAAGTGCCCAGTATTGATAGAAATGTGGAACAAACTACTCGCAAACCATATCTATGCCAACATGAAGTAGCAGAGACCATACCACAAGAAAAAATAAATGAGGCAACCAGTGAATGGCTGCGGTATAATTCGGGCATAATTAACAGCCCTCCACCTTTGTCATTCAAAGAAGCACATATAAATAGTCATGCCTTTTTAACCACTGAACAGATACTTGCCCCATTTACGTTGCCTGATCAGACATTGATATTTCCCCCAGAAAACCATGGAAAATTCAAAGACTTGCAATGTGAGGCCTATCAGCAGCTCATGCAGCAAAACGTGCTGGCTAACAAGGTGAAGTTTGCCTTTCCACCCACTGCAATCCAACCTAATCCTCCTCTGCAGCCTTTGCCCTTGCAGCAGCCCTTATGTTCTACCTCTGTAACCACAATCCATCACACGGTTTTACAGCAGCATGCTGCCGCTGCTGCTGCAGCAAGTACATTTAAGGTTCTCCAGCCTCACCAACCATTTCTTTCACAGGTCCCAACCCTTTCAAGAACACCTTTACCTCATCTCGCAGTAGGACCTAGACTTTGCCCAGGAACCCACACAACTTTTGTTGCTCCGCCACAACTGCCACTAATTCCAACTTCCGTCCTTCATCCGAGTCACCTGGCTTTCCCCCCATTACCTCATGCATTGTTTCCTTCGCTGCTTTCACCACACCCAGCTGTCATTCCATTGCAGCCCCTCTTCTAGGTCAAGTTTTCAACAATCAAAATGGAAAGAGCTGTCTCTAAATTAACATACTGCTATATGTAAGCACTCGTCAGTTTTGACAAATGGTTCTTTAAGTGACTGGAATAAACTGGTTAAAATGCCTCATTAATTTGGAATCATTTACTATAAGTGTAACAATGCAAATATGTATGTAAAGTTCAGCTCCATAATATAACTAAAGCACTGAATAGTCTGATCTAATATGAACTATATATATATATATGTATGAAAATCATGTCTTAGAATATGTATAATGTACATAAAATATATTTATAGTATTGCAATCTATGTTGTAAAGTATGCTCCTTTTGTTTTTTTATCTTTGTGAACCTGCACCTATTTAATGTTTAGACAAAGCTGATGCACTGTTTTGTACTATGTTTCTTGAAACTGTAAATCTAGTGACAAACTATCTCTTGCAATAAATTTTTGTTAACTATTTAAGTATATCAAAAATCATTCATTACAAGCCTCACGGATGAATAACATAGTCTATTCCTGCTATGTTTGGATAATCAGGTTTCCTATCCTTCAGTGATTTATCACCAAGCTCAGAGGCTAATGCCTTAAGGGTAACTGTCTTACCGAGCAAGGGACAAAGGGTAATAGATCTATTTGTGTTAGCAGTTTGATGTCACTGAGACAAATTTTGTCTACTTGTAGTATGCGGACAAACTGCTGACTGTTTGAGCCACTCTCTTTTCTATTAAACCAAACCAGCTCTTTTAAAGTAACATAAATGGCACAGGGGAAAAAAAGCAAGGACATTTGGAGTAAACTGTAAACCATATCTGCATTTAGCTTCTTCAGCATAAATAGCACTACATTTCCTGCCAGATGTCATCCACGTCTGCACATATGCGTGATTGAAATGACCATAGTTGTTTTGCCATTTTGCTTCTGCAAAACCCCCATTTCCACATGGAAATGGAATAGCTAGTCATGCAACCGGCAGTGTGTGCACACAAACCGTTTGTGTGTGGGGGGGGTGCCCCTTTTGTGAGTGCAATTTATTTTATGTCTAAAAATAGGCACACTGAAATGATGATCAGTTCAGATACTTCAGCCAAATAATTACATTGTTCCCCTGGTGGACACATAGCTCATGTTTACCTCAATGGGAGACGAACAAGCATATCAGAAGGGAGAATGTTTCCACCTGTGTATCATTTCATGTGATAGGTGGAAATGGCAAGGATATTTGGGCATATTTGAACTGAGGAAAGTCACAACCCTGACTGGAAATTTCCAGTCTTTTAAGGGGTTGAATCAAACTCTTACTATCAAATTAACAATTTTGTCTGACTATTTTCATATTGTATGGTTCTAGAATGTTTTGTCAAATATATATACACATACATACGTACACACACACACACATATATTTAGTCCTTCAGACATTCCTTTCTACTACCCCAACCCCCTTATTTAGGTCTGATCTAATCCAACTCTCATATAAGACAATGGGAATCTTTCTTGTTGGCTTTACTGGAGTTGGGTTAGGTCCATAATGATGACACAGCTTTAAATGTATATAGCCCTAGCCCGGCAACACTTTTTCATATTACCAGTCCCATTCACTTTAAAGGGGACTAGTCACATGGATAAAGAGGAGGGTTTGCAAAATGACCTATAGTGGCAGTAGCATACCCTCTTGTAATAAAATATAAGGGATAATTTAGAAATTCATGGTGGTTTCCTTTCTTCATTTATATGATTATGATAAAATTAAGTATAAGAGAAGCTCAAGGAAAGATAATTTTTGAAGAATATATTAAATAATTAATACCAACTTCACTCTTAAACGAGAGTAAAATGGCATAAATATATTGTTATATTTGCCATCTATAATACTAAAACTTACCTCTGTCAATAAAGCAAATTTTAATTTTATATTACACTCAAAAGCTATCTCAATCACTTTCTAATACAATTTTAAAGTTCTGGGGTCCACATATTTTACTTGGTGCAACATCTTGCAGGTACAGTACCATTGTAAAGAGGAAAATTACATTACTGTGCTAAAGGCTAGTACAAAGGAGCACTTTGATGGCCTGGTTTTCCAAGATGCTGAGAGGTCACAAATGGGTTGGTGGTAACAGGTGCTCAGGTACTGAGCAACTTTGAAAATCTGACTAAAAGATTTTTTTGGTTTTTTTTTTGTTTTCATCCCTCCAGTTTGTGGTTTCATGCCTAATTTTGTTTAATCTGGTATATGGAAAATGTAGCTTAACGGCTATTTCTGTCTTTTCATTTTGTGTGTGTGAAATGCATTTTTCATGCTTTAACAGTTTTAGACTAATTTCTGATTTAAGTAACAATTTATATTTAACACATTCTTTCGGGAAGGTTGGGGCAAAATAGCAATTTTATAACATTACAATTAGAAAATAAGAAGATACTGTGGGAAACAATTATGCACAGTTTATCATATTAACAAGTTTTATGCTGCAGCTAGTCAAAATTTCCCCAATTTCAAATTTTCAACAAACATTTTCATCCAAAAATCATTTTTTGTTTTAAAAAATCCCCAAAATTTGTAAGAAATTTTTCTACTAGTTCTATTTTATACTTTGGATTTTACACTTTCACTGGAATTTAGCTTAAATGTATTGTCTATTAAGGAATTTAACAGTTTTAAGATATTGCAAAATGATATATTATATAGAGTAACTGCATTAGCATCGTGTATAAAGTTAATGGATATAAGTAAAATACCAATAACGAGAAGGTGTAAGTATTCTTTAAACATTAATACCTTAAGTTCTAGCACTGTTTTGTATATGTGACTTCAAATATAGAAATACAGAAACATTTTCTAATAACAAAGACTGAATTTCAAATTGAACAAGCTAAATTAAATGATTTAATAAATATTTCATCTGAGTTGCTCTTGTATTACTAAATAATCTTACTGGATACATAATCTAAGTGTAGTTCTGTAGACTTGTATTTTCTGATTTTACAATCTCATTCATAAGTTTGGAAATCTTTGCAAGTGCTGAATAACTGAAGACACTATGATTCCTAGATACACAACCTGCCAACTTTCTTAAATCTAATTAATTTCTTTAGAATGTTCAAATCTAATCAGAAATGTTGCCTTTTAATGTTTTGCAGTTCCAACTCATATTGCCAATTTATATAATGTTTGGAATCTGATTCCAAGGTAAAGAAATAAAAATAAGTTACTGTTCCTTTAAATCACCAGAGTTGTTGGAATTAATTTATCTTCAGATTGCAATGATAAACCTAAATTAGGTTATAGATTTTGTTAAATGGCTTCCCATTCCCAGAACAGCTACACAAAGAAATGATTGAAAAGTTAATATGTTCCACTGAGATGAGAAATGTGTTTTTTTCCTGCCCTTGGAAAGCAGCAATTTGTCCAGACCATGACCTTCCTGGAGGCATACCATTTCTCAGGTAATATGTACCATAAAATAATGTTCTAAATAGGATTTTTCAAGCATTAAGAATCATAATCATCTTGCATTGTTATAGGCAGTTTGGACTAATTATACACTTTCCTTTCTAATCTGTAAATACACAGAACAGTTAAAATGCTATAATACATACAGAAAGCAGAAGAATCCGATTGTTCATTTTACTGAATTTAACCACAGATTATCCTAAATTTTAACTCTGCCTGAAAGGAATAAACTCACATGGGATTTCTGCAGGAACGAGCAAAATGATTTACAGATTGAGACATCTGATCCCCAGACAGTTGTAAAAAGCGCACGTTTTAGAGCCTGATCCTGCACAATGATGAACAACTGTAAGCTGCTGAGCACCCACAAACACAAACTGAAGTCACTGGGAGTTGTGGACACATCACTGCACAGTCTTGTGTGCCCAGTGTATTAGAGGAAGATGAATGTACTGTGTGCATGCTTAAAAGCTCTTCAGTTTAGAAAGCATAAAATTTAGGTTCACCTCATTATATTGGCATTTCAGAGATAAAAGGCAAATGCTTAAAATATAAAATTATACAAGGCCTCAACTATTGATGCTGCCCCAGCATTCTGAACATAGACTAACTTTATTCCAAACTTTCTTCACTCATCTTCTTTCTTAAGGCTCTGGTTCACCAAATTACTTAAATACATGACTAACTTGGAGCACATTAATAGTCACATTGATTTCAATAGAAGTACTCATGTGCTTTAAGGTTGGCACATACTTAATTACTGTGCTGAACTGGGGCCTACAGGAGAGATCTACAAATTACCATCTATGAGAAATGCCAAAGTACATTTCTTTTCCTTTGTACGTGCAATGGAGAAAGCAAGTTTATCTTCAGCTATTAAAATCCAGCATCTCCAGCACTGTCTTGTTTCTCTTTACATTCACATTTAACTCAATTTAACTCAAATATAACTGAACATCAGAACGATTACATTTTAGGGTTTTAAATATGCTCATTCTACTGCTCAGTTTAACTTCTCCATTGTCAGTATTGTAAAGAGAAGTTAAACAAATTGCCCTGGTCCAAATCAGTGGACATCTTTGACTTTACTGCAAAATGTTAGATAATGTTGCTTGAAACAATTTACCTTTTTTTTCTGCAGCCCTCATTTTTGACTCCAACAGTCCTAATTTTGAGACTCTTTTAGGGATTCATAATACTGGTAGTCCCACAACCATGGGAGATTTCTCTCAAAGGAGCTCTCATACTCTAACAGTGTGCAACAAAGCATCATTTATCATCCTTCTTTTTAGCTCTTGGTACAGGGCTGGAATCATGATACTAAAAAGTGGTTCCTGTTGAAATATGAATATTCTGTTAATTCCTGTAACAAAACTAGACTTTTTAAAATTATGTTTTCTCTTCTTGGGAGAGTTTCTCATACAGAGTGCTGGTCCCAGCATCTATTTCCCATATATATTTCAGTTTACTATATTGTGCTTGCTTTTATAAAAGTGCATAACTTCCCAAACTGCTACACTTTGTCTTCAGTATATTTTCTACAGTGTCTTTCCCCAATGTACATATTTTAGCAATCTGGTAATATGTATCTGAGAGCTCACTGTATTTAACGTATGGCTTTAAACATATTGGGCCAGCTCCTCAGCTGGCGTAGATCAGTGCAGCTCTGTTGACTTCAGTGGAGCCACACTGATTTGCTTGAGCTGAGCATTTGGATCACTGCGTTTTATAAATCTCCTAAAACATCCCAAATAAAAACTGAATCTAAGCAGTAAATCTGTAAAATATACATTTCTAGAAGCTGCTTGTTTGGAATGAGGGCTTATAAACTTTAACCTGTCAGTTATTTTGTTCTAAAGTTCATGAGCTGTACAGAATATACTGATTTGCATAGTTGTATATTGCCAAGTAATTTTACATACGCAAACTGTACCACTTCACATGTATATGCAATATGTTGTCTTATTGTAAAATTGTACCATGTTATTTTAACTCTTTTGCTATTG